TTCGAGGTACCTTCTTGTCAGGAATGGCGGCCATTATATCTGGTCAGTGTTATGATGCATCGAAGCTCACATGAGCCCGGAGTCTAGGCAAGTTAGTTTGAATAAGACTGACTGGGGGACACAAGGCCATGGACTACCCGACCTTGACATCGAATATCGGCAAATTTGTTCTTCGCCATTGCAAGTCTATCTATCGATGGTGTGTGCAGTGCTTTTTTATCCTGATGAGTGAGGTTTCTAATCGCGCCATGAGTTGGGGCAAGTTCGTGCTCAGAATCGTGGGTTTGAACGTGATGATGTATTGACTGTTAGGGTTCGCTGTAACGCGTTTCTGATACAAATCTTCTAAAGTGCACGGTTTAAGGCATTCTCATGAGCCAGCAGTTGAACCTATCTACCCATGAGACAGGTGTTGTGGGAATACGTTGCAATCAACCACAGCCATGGGCGCAGTGAGTCGAATCAACATACTAACTCATCACCATAAAATATGTTCCATTAGAAGAGAGCACTATAATGCCTCGCGCCCGGCTCGGCTAACTGCAATCCATTTCAGACTAATTCAATTCAACTCATATTCTAACACCGATCGACGCCGCTATTCAGATTCTAGCTATGCAGGTGCTTCACCGTTTGAGGCAAGAATATGGCCCGGAACACCTTCAAAGCTCAAACATTTTGCAGTACTCACAAAGCAACGTATGCCATAACGCTGGAAGATCGTCGTCGTAGCTAACACAGCTAATTGACAAAAGCAAAAGCGTGGTCATACAGCAGTAGAGATATAAAAGAGTGTCGCAGCCGGCTGGCTGTCTGCGAGTTATCACCCTCAATTCTTCTTCCCTTATTCGGCTCCCAACATGCTTGTTCCTTCTGTATTTTCCCGGCGTCACTGCCCTGGGTCTATGTCTCCTGTGGTCGCCTGTTAGTACCTTCTACCTTGGGCATTACAAGGATGCACTAAGGGCGCCGGAGAGCCAACACAAAACGATGTAATACATTTATCTGAATGAGAGACGCGAACATATGTTCCAGTGTGATATAATTTTTCTGTCAATTATTTTGACTGCACTGCACCTGTCACATATGTACCCTGAGGGATATCAGCTCCCGAACGTTCACCGTGATCGCTTACCACCATGATACAAGAATAAGCGTCCAAATGGCGGTTCAAGGTTAATAGAACGTCCTTGTGGGAACAGTACAACTCAGACCTCTTCCGGAGAGGAGATTACAGGATTCCATCCTCTGACTTGAAGATAAAATGAATCCCGTACGCTCGCATGAGAAATAAAACAACAGAAGAATGTTCGCATTTGCAGGGAAGATGCTAAATATATCAAACTCCGATACTGTTCGGACATGTATCCGTCGTGTCTCAAAAGAGATAGTTCATGGATTCATGGAACATATCCACCCTAACAACAATTAGATATGCAGCTACCTGGAGATATATATATAGACATACGAGTGAGCCGGTTATTTCCCGTCTGAATCATACCAGAATAGGTCTAGGTTCCGCCATCATAAATGGAAGCTACATTCCCGTGCGAAATAAGCATACGATGCCCACTTCATGTAGGATGGCACAGACGGGCCACATTGTTGCTAGTGACCACGCTAACTACGGTATCGACGTAGCGATTCATGCTCTCTACAGAATACGCGTACTATGCTGGCTTGCAAACAGCTAATGGGAGAGAAATTGGTCAGTGAGCAGTGCTTAAATTGCGGGAACTTTTCATGGCCGTTTCAGGCGATTGAATTGATAAGGACGGTACCCGACGATCAGTGGATACTAGATATACTGATCCAAAGATAATGCCAGGAACTATGTTTTTACCTCCCGAATATCCAAATTGTAAACTTAGATGCCTGATAAGTGGGCATGGCTCCAGATGTTGTAATTTAGGGTTGTGACGATCGTTCGGCGGGAGTTACCAAACGCGGAGGCACTCGGAGATACGACCAGGTCGAACCACAATTCATGGAAACATCCCCAGACCTTGAGAACATGCAGAGAACGTGCCTGACATGTTTCTGCAGCTTATGTTACTGCTGCAGTAGCTCGGATCGCCGGGCGAATTAGGACTACTCCTGCTGCAGAACGCCTCTCCAGGTGCCGGTCGACCGATATCGCACTCCTCAGAACAGGGACAGTGGTGAACGTTAACAAATAGACATACCTAGCCTCTGCTAGCTTTCGCTTCTGCCTTGGCTTAGTATTGACGGACTCTTCTGTGCCGTACCATCGTACGACCAGTCCTCTGTACAATGCAGGACCCATCTTAACTTCAATCGTTACTGGCTGTCCATACCAGGACTTCAACGGCTGCTCGACAGAGAAGCGATCTACTGCAGCACTCGTCATCTAGTCCCACCCTCTCTACTTCAAACATGAGGAGCTACTTCGGCCGACATGATCATGTCTTGTTTGCTCCATAGAGAGCTATATAAACCCCGTCCACCACCTATATTCTGAACATCATTCCTCTCATTCCTCCAATTCAGCCGGTCACCATGCTTTCTTCCAAGACCGCGGCCTTCGCGGGCTTCATGGCCCTCAGCGCTCTTTCTGGAGTCGCTGCCACCTACAATTATGCTGTTGCCGATCCCTATGGTCTTCCTGAACCCGTTATGATTGACTTTGATGATGACGGAGTTGTCGGTGGCCTCTACCGACCCAACACCACGAGCCCTCTGTCCCGTATCGGTGTCTACGTGATGCACGCTGAGCAGGATTACCTGAACTTCTCAGCCTGCCACGAGCTCCCCCGCCGCGGCTTTACTACCTTCTGCGCAAACAATGATGCCAGCAAGAGCGGCTACATGACCGACATTAACTTCGAAGATATGATGACCAACGTCGGCCAGGGCATGAGCTACTTGCGCAACCTGACTGAGATCGACAAGGTTGTCATCTTCGGCCACAGTGGTGGTGGCGCCATGATGACTGCCTACCAAAACATCGCTGAGAACGGTGTCAAGGCCTGCAATGGTCCCGAACGTATCTACCCCTGCTCCGACGCCATGGCCGACCTGCCTGCCGCCGACGGCCTTATTCTCATTGACGCCAACTACGGACTCTCCACCATGGCACTTCTGAGTCTTAATCCCGCCATCGTTGACGAGCACTCCGGTGCCAAGATCGATCAGTCACTAAACCTTTACAACACCGCCAACGGCTTCTCCGAGTCCGGCGCCAACTACACCCAGTCCTTCAAGAAAGCCTTCGAGAAGGGTGTCGTTGCTCGCAACAACCGTATCCTGAAGCACGCTGAGTCTCGCCTGGCCGCTATCAACAACGGCAGTGGTATCTTCAGTGACGACGAGCCCTTCTACATCGTCGACTCCATGTACGTCGGCTTCAACAACAAGTTCTTCGCCCAGGACACCCGCTGGATCCACCACACCACCCACCCCTGGCCCCTTCTTCACCGCAATGGATCGATCACCACGCAGATTGTTCCCTCCGTTCGTGTGCCTGCTAACTTCGAGAGTTTCGCCGACAACTTCGAGGGTGGCGCCCTCAAGACCACCATCAAGCGTTACCTCTCCACTCTGGCTATCCGCGTCACCGATGACTTCGAGTACAAGGTCGATGGCTTCGAGGGTATTGTCTGGAACTCTAGTCAAACTGCTCCGCTCGGCAACATCGGCGGTGTTACCGTGCCTTTGCTGAACATGGGCAACACCGGTCACTACGAGTACCTGAACGCTGAGAAGCTCCACCTTGCCGCTGGTAGCAAGGATGCTGAGATTGCTTTCGTCGAGGGTGCTCAGCACACTATTGTCACTTGCACTGAGTGTGAGACGTACCCTGGGGAGTATGGTAACACTCTTTACACTGCTTACAACTACATGGCGGAGTGGTTGAGCAAGGAGGGTCGCTTCTTGTAGATATTTTGCCGACATCGTGTACGATAGATTGTCTATCCTGTATCTTGTATAGTCACTGTGTGTGAAATAGCTAGCTTAGGAATAATTCACGCAATTCTGTCATTCCTTAAGCTATTCTGTCATTCCTTAAACTAAGATTCCTGGCATTATTCTACGTATTTCCTCGTCCCTCGTCGATTTGTCTTGTTCCCGTGAAGAGCCGTAGACTTATCGTCCGCATCCTCTCCAGACAACAGACCAACCCATCTTCATTTTATCTCAATACATCATCAAGCAGCAGGTTAAGTCCAGGGCCATCACCGCCAAACTGAACGCGGTATCTTCGTCCGAGATCTCAGCCCTCAACATCCCTCTCTTTGGCTTGCGGTCCCCACGTTCCGCCCATCCATACCAAAACCAGTTTAGTCTCCGCAACCGCCGTGCGGGGGTGCAAAGGGCCCGGATGTAGCAATGATATTCTCAGAAGAGGGTATCTGCAGGGTTGGGGTTTCATTTCAAGGCACGCACAATTGTTTGCTAGTATAGTTAAGGTTGGCATGGCTCCAGTGGCTATCGGACAAGGCAGACGCGATTCCCGACTTCATCCGGGAACACCGAAGCGCGCTAGCGCGGGAACGATCCTGAGCGTGTCTCTAGTGGCACTATCTTGCTGGGTTCAATACATTCCCTTAAATGATACCCGCAGATGTGAAATAGGTCTATCGGTTGAGTTGAGTATTATTACCCGCATAATGGGCTTTCGCCTCTGAGGCGTATCAGTACTCTAACTGGGACAACGGCCACAAATATTTCGACGAGTCATACTTATGAACTGAAATGGCGTTTTGATATAAGTTCTGGCTTGGGAGAGGAGGAAATTCCTAGCTATTCTAGGATGCCAGGCTATAAAACCCCCTTCATATTCCAATTCATTGTTCTCCTTTGGCTACTGTGATATCAGAATTTATTAGGTTTTTGTTGAAATAACAAGTCATATTAGAGCTCTTCGAGGCAGCTTTCCCTGTATCCTGCCATCCGCTATGTGATAGTAGCCATAGAAAGCAATGTAGGTAGGTTCCGTCATGGCTATCATATAGCTGCAAACGCGCATTCCAGACTTGTTAGTACCGTGGTCGAGAATGTAGCCCATCGCCTTCAGGAACAGGCGAAAGAGCCTGTCTACCAGGTTGCACGTGGATGACCTTTCCATCAAATCTGGATAACGAAAGCAGATATTGTTAGCACCGATCTTGAAGGTCTGGTGATAGAGGAGCATTTGGAACATACCTGCTTCCGTTCATACTGACGCACGCAGCCTCTGCTTCGTCATCTTGAGCGTATATGATTCTCGTAACTCTTTGACGGGAACCACTTTCAGAGACCGGAGGAAAAGGTCTCCTTGCACTGAACCCGGTATTGTATAGTTTGGAAGCATATGCCGCGCCTGTGAGAGAATCGACTGTGTCCTCATCAAATTCCTATATGAACAGACCCAATATAATCAGCCATTCAGAAGAAGCCCCACGCTAGGCGCTATCGTAAGTGGCAGGAATGGAAAGTATTATACTATGCCAATAATGTTGCCGAAAGAGGAGAACTGTAGTCGTAAAGTCTCGGCCTCGGTGTACCTGGAAAGTCCCCTATGCAAGGTCAGGGATTGTGCTTTTCTCGCCCGTGTAAAGTCGCCCGGGCCTTGGGATGCAGCGAGCTATATTATAAGAAATGTGGAAAAAAAAGAGGTGCGTATCTCACCTGATGTTTATCTCGCAATCTTTCGGCGTCTGTTCAAGTGAAGAAAAATCGGAGCGTGGTGCTTTTGCTTCTTCTTGTTCCTGCGCTGCAGCTAATGCCGCGTCTGAGAGCCCAGAAAAAACGATATTTTCATATGTATCAGCCTGTACATTGAATATATCAAACAGTGTGAGCCTCGGCACCTGTAGGTATTGAGCTGGTTAGATTGCTGCGGTCCGCAAATTTGTAAGGCAAATACTTTAGCAAGGAAGGGCCAGATCTACCACTCTGCCCGCTACAGCTTTGTCCTTCTTCAAGTGGTCAAGCATATCCTCGATGTGTCCTATGACGAAAGGATTGGGAGATATGTGCAGAAAGTTCAGATGGCACTGTGCCACGGGTGCGTTGAGGAGTCTCAGCCTCTTTCCACACTGCAAGATTGCTCTCTCCAGATCTCGTGCAGGGGAGTCCTGAGCCTCACCAAGTATGTGAATGTGGTTGAGCTTCTCTGAATTTCCTGATTCTTTATATTCGGCAGCGTACAATCTTAGAACTTCGGAGAATGAGGGAGCCACTTCTGTTGTACCTGTGGCCGACGATCTAGTATTTTGCCCGGGGACACACTCCCCTAGACGCCGGCTAAGTTCGGCTGCCACCTGTTCCTCGTAGCTGGATCCAGTCTGTGATGGATGCGTCGTGATTATCGTCCTATATGTATCAGCCTGCTCTTTCAGGGTCATTGCCAGCCTCCCCGTGGTCCTCGTTAGGTCGAGAGTATCAAGCTTTACCGCTGGTCCATCACGATTGTCAACGACGGTCTCCAGGTTGTGCAGATTTATTAAACTGGGCGTTAGCTCGTAGAGTTGATCTACTGCATGGCTAATCTGCTCAAGACGGATCGGCAGCTCTTCACGTTGGTACGCAGGGCTAATGTCGAGGGGACGGGATGTCACTAAGCATGGTGGAAAGCATTTGCCAATGAGTGTGTACGTCCAATATACTTCGTGGTGGCTTCCAAAGTCAAATATCATACCTGACTGAATCATGGCTTGTATACGCCATAGTATCTTGAGAACAGGTACTACCGAGTAGGGCAGTGTCGTTGAGGTGTGAATATGTGATTCGGCGAAGGAAAAGAAGAGTCGGAGTCGATCGTTGATATGCTTGCCCAGGTCTGCATTTTTGCGATCTGAAGAAGACTGTTGCCGTCTTCCTGCCAAACTTATTGCCAGCCCGAGCGCGGCATTCAGACAGGCCGTCTGCACGGCATGCGGAATCATGCTTATCTGAAGATTCTTGCTACTACACGTGCGAGGATGGTCGAGGTTGTTTGCTTATCCTCCCTGATCAACCCTGCATCACGTGGTCAAACTCCTGCAACAAAATCATTCTGCTGACAGCCTCGCTCAGCATCTTCACCTCACGCCATTAACCGATGTCTGGACTTGAGATAGGTGGCCTAGTCTTGGGGCCTTCCCCCTTGTAATCACGGCCATTGAGCAATACAAGAAAGGCCTGGAAATTCTGCGACTGTGGGAGACGAAGAACTACCGAATGGAACTCGCGGCCATACAGCTAGAAATCGAGGTCCAGGGTACAATTTTCCGCAACACATATTTGAGTCTAATGCGGACCTTTCTGGACCGGCAGTCTATTGTAAAACTGTTGATGGAACCGAATGGTTTCGAAAATACGGCATGCTGATTGGCCCACCTTTAAAGGCGCACCTTGGCCCACAGTGGGAGATGTACTCGAAATTGATGGAACGGCTACAAAACCTATTGAACACGTTGAGGCTACATATTGACAGGGTACCTTACATCCTCCTCTATCAAATCTTCATGGGTCTGATGCTTACATCATGTTGCAGACACGGCCAACAAACGCCGAAGATGTATTTTCTAAGATATCATCCGCTCTTAAGCCTATACGCTTTAGCTTCGGCATCAAACAGCGACACGGCCTGCTGCACCATATCAAAGAAGCAAACAGTGCATTCCAAACTCTGGTCGAACAACGACATGCATTGAGAGATCTTACACAACCTCTAGCTGCAAACGCGCAGGTGAGCCGATACCGGCATCTGCGCAGTGAGAGCTCTGCGCTACTGAGCTTGCTCATATCCCACTTCGATTCCTGTACCACTGCCCATACCCATTCGTACGGGTTTTACCTACGCTCACTGCTCCGGAATCCTCGCGGAGTACATATACGGAGGCACAGCAATGACCGCCGTCAGAATAAGGTGTGGGTCGACTCGCACACTCGACCTGCGCTAGAGCCACCCGTTATGTTGGAGGAAAGGGTGGTATACACCCTTGATACGTGCTCCAAGCGTAACTGCTGCCCTGGCTCATTGTGCCAAAGCAGCCGGCTCGTCGCTCAAAACCGGCCGCCCCCGAACCTCGATAGTCGTAAATTGCGCCTTAGGAATCGGCCTTCCAGAGGGTCTACATTAATAGCCAGATATTTCGCAAGGCCGGTGTCTTTCCCTTCCGCTACTGAACAGCAGCGTCTAAGCGATGCACCAGATAGAGGAGGGTCTACATCAGTGGCCAAATCATTCAAATGGTCTGTGTGTTTCCCTTCGACTACTGAACAGCAGCATCTAAGCAATGCACCAGATAGGGGAGCGGTCGGCGCTTTACCGAACAGGAACCGGCACTCTCAACTAACACATGCTATTTTCTATGTCGAAGAGCGCTACCCTTTGCCGACAGATATATCGTTGCATACTATATTATCGAGTGGCACGCGGTACGAGCAATTCCCTAGATACTTTTATGAATGGGATCGAGTAAACATCGCCGCATTGGTTGCGTTGTCTGTAGTGTCCCTGCACGATTCCAATTGGCTAGACTCGTCGTTCTCTAGCAATCAGTTGTTCTTCACTCTCTTCAATGACAATACCAGTCAGCGTTTACTACTCGAACCTTACGTGAAGAAGCAACATTCTGTTCCACCCCTATCACAAAGCGAATCATCATCAAACACACAAACATCAGCCGGACCGCCAGCAACCTTTGGCATAAGGAACCGCGCCCTTTACAACCTCGGTATCATGCTCTTAGAACTCGTGTTGAACGAATCCCTGTCCTCCCTTCGTGTACCGGACTTGGGCGGCGCCCTCGAAACAGAAGATCAGGTTGCGTGGCGACTGGAGCGAGAAGTGTGCGGAAAGGCGGGATCTGTGTGGGCGGACGTCGTAAGCAAGTGCTTGCATTGCCCATTCATGGGTAATTCGCAGCTCGATGACGACTGTTTTGCATCTGCTGTGTACATGGACATTGTACAGCCTCTGCTGGGCATGGTGGAGTTGCTGGATGGACGGTTAGGCTGTCCGGACGAATATCCTTATTTTTATGCATTGCGCAGATGACAATGACACGACATGCTGAATTACTTCACCATATCCCCGCCACACCACGCAACTCTATGTGTGATGCTCCCACATATTCATATTCTTCCCCACCATCGCAATCTTTGGATTATGTATGCCTCAATGCAAGGAATGGCGGGTCTGGACTTAGTATATGTAGTTTGATAGCGAATAATCGTTTCTTCCAATCATTAACATCATAAGATGACCACTAGGTACGTCCACCGCAGTTTATGACAAAGTAGGTTGGTATACAGAGTATACTCCCCTTAAGGGATAGCCAAGTAATGACTGAGCCTTCATCGAATATGAGCATGCCGTGCCCTATATCCGGGCTCTCGGAGATCTCCCCGGTTCTACCACAGATTGATGGGGGTCATTACTACCTGTTGCAACGTCTGGTAATTGTAGGCCCTCGCAGAATTATACCTACATTGCTCTGAACAGAGAAAAGTTCGTGGGTATACCAGAGTCGGTTTGAGCGCTGGTCACGAGCGAGGTTGTAAAGACTGATTTGAGACTACCATCAGCAGAATTCAATGTTGGCTTGTTAATACGTGGGTAACAGTAGAGCACTGTTAGGTGGTAAGAACAAGTACTGACCTGTCTCCCGCTTTGCATGTTGTATCCGGTTTGTTTTCCACTGACTAGGAAAATAGAACCTAACAAACGGATCGTTGTAGAAGAGGTTTAACGAACATATGAGATACCATTATTATTACTACATTTTCACTTTTTCTCTATGCCGAAACCAGTCCCTGTACATCAAGAAACCTAATCAACCCTAACCTCCACCTCCACGACCCTCTGTATCTGCAACGGCCCCTCCCCATCCTTCCCTTCTCCACTTCCTCTCCCCCTGCCACTTCCCAACGAACTCCTCTCCCCGCCACTACTATCCCCATCACCGTGTCCAATTGTTGTAGTCACCGCAACCGAATTATCCCACGGCCTGTTTCTTCCAGCACTGGCCTCCCCTAACTCCAGGATCTCAGCCTGATCATCCGTCTCAGAAGGTAACATGCGACTCTGGTTGCGCTGCGTTCGACGCACCCCACTCAGCGCGTACGAGCGGCCAGGATCCATGGTTTGGCTTTGTGAGGCGTGTTGGCGCCGTTGGCGGCGGGTGTTGTAGCTTGACGTGAGGGTCGAGGCGAAGGCGTGGAAATAAGGGCCGTAGGTGGGGACACATGCGATTATTACCTGGTTTTGGGGGGTTTTGTTAGGCGCGGCAAGGAGACGTGGTGATAACGGATTTGTTGCTTACTCCCAGGCTTATTTCCACTTGCGACCATAAGACGATCGGTTGGCTGTCTGTGTAGGTTTTGAGGTGCTTGATGGTGAAGATACGGATAATTTGGATGATGGTAATGAAGAAGCCTAGGGCGAAGAGGGCCATGAGAGCGATCTTTTATTGTTTGGTTGACACGTTAGTTGTACGTTGAATGGGAAGGGGAGGGAGGGCGAGGACCGGATGAAACCTTTTGCGCTTGTCGGAGTTGTAAGGACCATAGGACTGGGAGGGGGAGGGCAATAATGACTATGTCGAGACCCAGGCTTGTTCCTGTTGTTTCGGTCATGAATTATTTTCTTGTTGGGGTAGAGGAGGGGATGGATGTACCGGCCAATGCTGTTATGTTGTCAGTATGAAATATGATGATAGTCGTGGGCGCATACCATAATATGAAGCAACTGTGTCAATGCATGTTCCTGGAAGACTCGCGTCCCATTGCTTTGCAACCTAATCACTTGTTAGATAGATCCCGCAGTGAACCGGAATATACTGACTGGATTGCACGCCAGTGTTAAGAGAAAAGTGAAAATAACCTGGTTGCACACCACGGCGATCACCACCCCAATGATACTCCATCGATAGGTGGCAACGAAACCTCCGATCCGTAGATAAGAAGTCAGGAGCGAGACCTTGAAGCAGAGGATAGCGAGGATATACGTGGGGCCGCCGGCGTATTGGATCTGAATTGTCACCGGTGTCAAAATCTCACGGCAAAGAGCGAAAACAGAGGATTGCCGACCTTACTGAACATCACCACGTTCGCATCTGGGAACGAAGCTGCATCCAGTCCTAAGCCATACCGTGTTTCTAAACTGTCAGTTGCACTGGTCATTCGAGTTGTCCAAGGGCAGCGTACGGGCCACTGCGATCCCCGCATAAGCTAATCCCAACACTGCACTGCATGCCGCCGAGTAGTCGTCTAGCCAAAGGGCACGTTTCGAATGCAAGCGGATATAAAACCGTAGCAAAAGGGCGATCACCGCACTGATGCTGAATGTCAAGCAGATCGCGATCACTCGCGCCACATGGCTGTGGGCATCCGGGTGGGCAAGATTATGGACCCAACCCATGGCATTCCGCAGTTGATCGTAGGAACTGGGAAGACATGAAAACAAAAATTATTCTGCCCAACACACACGGTGCAGGGTGAGACCCCCCAACCCTAGATACCAAGCATCTTCAGGTGAGATTTTAATTAATCACACTTCTGCAGGCATAATCCCTGTCAGCCATATGGAAAAGCCGAGGAAATTGCGAGAACTTGGCGATTACGCGATGGATCGAATCCTGGCAAGCGAAATGAAGCTAAATGTAAGACATCGCCGGACTGGAAACCGTGCCAGAAACCGTCGCCGCCACACAGACACTAACGACCCGCTGTGGAGATGCCCTAAGCGTCCGCCAGGAACGGGGGAATCGCGCCGCGTAGACCCCAAGCGGGGCAAACCCTGTCCGGTCAATAAGCGGAGAGACTAAAAGCCTGGGCCAATATCGATCAGCTCGCATGATAGGACGACGAAGATGGTGGAGGAGCTTGTATATTTCGAGGACCTTGGCCGAGACCGTTGGAAACTAGATCCAAGCGGCGCGGTGGTTTGAGCAAATAAAAGGCCATGCAGCTGACCATGTGGGCGAACAGGAAGAATAGCGTCGAAGTTGCCATAAAACCTCTCTGCCTAAACGTGTGCAGACTGCACGAAATGTGTTCTCGGGACCCAACAGGGATCATGCAATGTAATTAATATCTTCACGAGCAACGGAAATGACTAGGCCCACTTCACTTGCTGTACGTGCAATTGTAGGAGCCGACAGATGCCGGTAGTGGCATAGGAGTTTCAGCAATATCGACAGGGATATAAATCGGCCATCCCCGGTCTCTTCGGAGGGATTCCCGAGCAGAGCTTGTTATCCCTCAATCATGTTGGCACCATCCCTCTGGACTAGCTTGTTGGCCCTCACGGCCTCAGCCTCGGCTTCGGCCATTAGCAGCAACTCTTCCAACTGCCGCTGCTTCCCTGGAGATGCCTGCTGGCCCTCCCAGAGCGAATGGGCGAAGTTCAACGAAACTGTTGACGGTCGCCTCATCAAGACCATTCCCTTGGGCAAGCCATGCCACTCTCCCTACTACAATGCCTCAGTTTGTGCCTCACTGAAAGAACAATGGACAGAGCCTGAGCTTCAGTAAGCTTCACTTCCCAACGTCACATCCCCTTTGCTAATATCTTCGCCCACTAGCTACACCTCCAGCAGCTCTGTCATGGCCCCATGGTTCGCCAATGGCAGCTGTGACCCCTTCCACCCGATCGATAAGCCCTGCACGATGGGCAACTACATCGATTACGCCGTAAACGTCTCCACTCCTGCGCATATCTCGGCCACCCTCCGCTTTGCCGACACCCACAATATCCGGCTGGTGATCCGCAACACCGCTCACGACTACAATGGCAAGTCCACTGGTGCAGGTGGCCTGGGCGTGTGGACACACAACCTGAAGTCCAGGACGCTGATCAGTAACTACACGGACTCGCACTACACTGGCGCTGCTGTGCGGCTGGGCGCAGGTGTGCAGGGATTTGAGGCATACGAGTTCGCTGATGCCCACGGCTACCAGATCGTAGGCGGAGAGTGCTCCTCAGTGGGTATTGCTGGTGGATACTCCCAGGGTGGTGGACACTCTGCGCTCTCGTCGCGCTACGGACTGGCAGCTGACCAGGTCCTCGCCTGGGAGGTTGTTACCGGTACTGGCGAGTTTGTGACTGCTACCCGTGATAATGAGTACAAGGATCTTTACTGGGCGCTCAGTGGTGGTGGCGGTGGTACTTATGGTGTTGTTGTGGCTATGACCTCCAAGCTTCACACATCTACCCCTACTTCTGGTCTGAGCCTGACCTTCACCAACTCCAACATCACTCAGGATACCTTCTTCGAGGCTGTCACTCTGTACCACACTCTTCTGCCGAGCATTGTTGATGCTGGTGTCATGAGCGTTTGGTACTTCACCAACACCTCCTTCTACATCTCTCCTCTCACTGGACCCGGTGTCCCTGTTGCCACCCTCCGCTCATTGGTCGCGCCCTTCGAAGCTGGTCTCACCAAGCTCGGCATCAACTACACTCTTGAAGCCAAGATGTTCGATACCTACCTCGAGGAGTTCAACAGCATGGAGGCTGAGATCGCCGTTGGCAAGGCCCAGTATGGCGGATGGTTGATCCCGCGTGAAGTGGTTGTGCAGAACACCACGGCCTTGACGGACGCGTACCGCCAGATTGTGTCGGACGGAGCCACCTTTATCGGAGTCGGCTTGAATGTCAACCGCTCTATTGCCGGCGACGTTGACAACGCTGTCCTGCCTGCCTGGCGTGAGGCCCTCATTGATACCACTCTTACGACTCCCTGGGAGTGGGATGCCCGCGCCGAAATGATCGTCGAGCAGGACAAGATGACTTACGACTACATCCCTCTGCTCGAGGCTCTGGCTCCTAACTCTGGAGCGTACATGAACGAGGGCAACTTCCAGCAGCCTAACTGGAAGAAGGCCTTCTATGGCGTCAACTATGATCGCTTGTTGCAGGTCAAGAACAAGTATGATCCCAACGGACTGTTCTATGCTCTTAAGGCGGTCGGCTCGGATGCTTGGACCCAGTTGGAGGATGGTCGGTTGTGCCGCGCCTAGGAGTTGTTGCATTTGAGTGTATGATAGATTGTATATAAAGATGTGTTGAGGGTGTTTTGAAGGCATGTTATATGTATATAGCTAGAGTCGAAAAGTGCTTTGTACCTCTTAATGCTTGCCTCCACATTATAACATAAGGATCTTAGTTCTTAACTCCAAGCATAGACGATATATCAGATGCAACATTCTCCATACCTAGCCCCTGCAATATGTCCGTGGATGATGTCCGATCATAGTTAGGCAGGATCTGTCTTACCGCGCCATAATCTCCCCATGTCTCAACGTTATCTCCAACAAGCTTTGACCATACTAGTGCTGATGTTATCCCTGCAATAAATACTATAATTGTGAAAGGATATTGCGTGCTTATGTCTCCACTTTACATGGCGCCTCTAGTGGGTTAAGCACATTATGGCTCGAAGTATGCTGGAATTCGGGCGGATTATTGCTAGGATTCACTGATCAGCTATCAGTATCATGCCTACAGGATACGAAAATCTCCGAACCCCTCCACGATATAACTCAGCTTTTATAAGGGTGAGTTACTGCATCAGCAAATCATAATTATTGTCATGACAGGATACGTGATTATGATGTCCGGCATCGCAGGATGACACTGGGGAGCAATGCTACAGGATAAATGCCCAAGGGTATCAAAGCAATTTAACTGGAGCACTCAACAGAGGAATTATTCATTCTCGTAGTTACCAAATCTGGACCATATTCCAAGACACCACTCAATCTGCTGCTAACGCCCACAGTCTCAAACAGCAATCCCCCTCAAGTCTCGCGAATAACATGCGCACATCTTTCCCCCACATCCAACAAACGACCTACTCATCTACCACTGATAGCAATACTGGTCCCAATCAGGATACCAACCCGTCCCATAATAAACCCAAGCATTCGAATCCAACACCGCCACATGACCACCCCAATACTGGCTCTCATTCAACTGAAACACCGCCCACCAGCCCGTATTCCTCTGCACACTGCGACTACTCACTTGAGCCTTGGACCGAAACCAGCTCCACATGTCGCGGGCACGAATCGGCCGACGAGCAGTAGTCTGACACCGCGCGTTGATGTGCTGGTTTGGTTGACTCAGTTCGGTGTAGCCGGCGCGGATAAATGCGTCGGAGAGGTAGTGTGCGCAGTTGTTGGATTGCACGTCGCCGCCGGCGCAGCTGTTATTCCAGTATGCGGCGATGGAAGAGATCGGTGGGGTGGTGGCTAGGGCATGGGGTGCGAATTCGAGGATGGTGGGGATGGATTGGGCGGGAGTGGGCATGTCGGGGAGGGTTATGGGGGGTGGTGGAGGAGAGGTCGTCTCCATGACTTTACTGAGGGGTTGGGCGTAGTCTGTCATGGTGCGAAGATTATATTGCTGGGTGATGTGTGTGTAGGTTAGAAGTTAAATAGGAAGTAATGCTGTCTCCGCTATCATAATCAGTTCTAGTTGTTGGACATTTGTTGGGTTGATGACCGCTATTATATACTATTCGTAGCAGGGTGCGCGAAAACCCGTGTGCGCGATGCTCACAACCATTTCTTCCACCTTATTACTGCACCATATCGCAGGCTACAATTCAGAATCTAGGATGATTTAGAATACGAAGTATGGCATAGTGCAAGCTACATTATTGGAGTGCTATACGAAGTCAAGCAAAGTTCAAGTTGTTGCTATCGATACGATAACCTTAATTACGAACGCCGGATCCGATCAACATTATTGGAACATATTTCAATGGATAAGGTTAACCTTTTAAGCATATTTGGGATAATACGAAGCTAGCAGTCCAGATGTGGTCCAGATGGCATGTACCAGGGTACCATAGAGCTTAATTTATGTGGTGCTGGTGGCCTAATCTACATCGCACACCTGGACATCTTTCTGCCAAGACTTGGACTTTACGCTGATACGAGGCGAGTGCCATCTATCTACTTTAAGTCACAGTAAGTGGCAATGGCTGGAACACGACGACCTGTGAAGTGTCTGCTACCAAATATTAATCCGTCAATCCGGCCATACGATGCGTCATATCATTATTACACTGTGGATCTCATCGCAGCTGTCGTTAGGCTACACGGTTATGTAGCTGTCAAACAGAGTCTGCGCGTGACCTGGGACGCCTATAAATTTACCTTATCAATAACAGGAGGATAATTTAGGTATCTCCTCTCAACTCCCTTACAATGTGATCAAACTGTGAATGGGGACATAAGCAAGGAAGTGGCAACCTAACAACCGACATGGCTTTCACCTCAGCAGACATTGTTTCTTTGTTCAAGTCTTCTGCACCGAATGTGTCCCTCGTTGAGCTTCTCCAGCAGCCAGTTAGTGCCTTGCTTGGTGTTGACAATGCTGCTACATCCTCCCTTAAAATCATAAAAGTTAATACTGTTTTTGACTTGGCAACGTCTATTGTCTTTGACAGTGCTGTAAAAATCTTTACTGCCGCAACAGACCCAAACAGCATCTTTTCTCGACATGGCAAGCCACCAGCTGATCTGATACGCACGTCTCGGACCACAGGAAAGTCCCTGCAGGAACTTTCCTCAGAGCCAATTTCTATTCTCTCTGCAGTTCCAGAATCAAGTGCTGATACTATATCTGAGGCACTTGATGTTAGGACTGTCCGGGATCTGGCTCTCTATCCACCTTATTTAGCCGCCCTCAGAATTCTGAAGTATTTGTACTTTCCAGAGACAGATGAGGGATTCGACCCCGAAAGACCAGCAGACCTCATTCCTAAGTCTGGCGAATACCCGATTGAGAAGGTTCAGTATTCCACCCTGCACATCGGCGAGATCAAGAAAAACCCTAGCGACAAATTCATAGACGTGTCAGGGCCTGAGTTTAAACCGCCGGGCTTGGACGATGTCATCGACAATGAGCGCACCGGATTCAAGGTAGTAGCCACAGGTGCCCTTCTGACGTTTAGTCAGTCATGGTTTGTCCAAGGAACCACATTGGGGCACCTGCTGCACTCGGTGACCCTTGCTCCGGGTGAAAGCACGCGAGTGGCCCTCATTGACTGGAGTCGCAGGGAACGGGGGACAAATACCGAGGCTATATCAGAGAAAGACGATCTTGTCAACGACGTGTGAGTACCTTGCCACAACCGCATAGCCGAAAACTGACGTGATGTTTGAAGTAATCATGCTCGCGCTGTGGCCGAAGTAACGAGGGGAGTAGCTGAAGAAGCTCAGGGCGGGTTCTCCAAAACTAATTCAGACGCCGCCACAATCTCTCTTGGCCTTTCTGGGTCGGAAGATAGGAATGGAGGGCTTATGGGCGCTATATATGGTGGGATAAGCTCCACAACAGCTGGTTCCCTGGGCATTTCGGGATCAGCAGCATACTCGGAGTCGTATTCTACAACATGGGGAAACAGAAACGTCTCTGCACAGACCTTGCAGAATATTAATGAACGAACCCAGCAGCACGCCCACTCCAGCCGGAATAGACGTGCCTCTGTTGTCAGGGAAGTTTCACAGTCTGAGCACGAGAATGTCAGCACACGGGGTATGTCTCGCAATCCTACAAATATGGTTGAGCGACTAACAGAATTACTGCAGTAATCGCCAACTACAACCATGCGCATGCACTATCAATAAACTATTATGAAATAGTCCAAGTATTTCGCGTCGAGGTCCGGCTGGTGAAGGCTGAACAAGTCATATTTGTTCCACTGGCAATGCCTGACTTCACCAACGTCAATCTGATCCGGCGCTTTCAGATCCCACTCGCCAGAGCCGCTCTTACGCCGCAGATTCAGCAAAGTCTAATCAACATGGACAGAATTGAACTTGAGCCTGAGAAAAAGACCTCATTTACTGTTTTTGCACGGCCTCTCGGTGCTATACTTGAGGAAGCGCTGCGAACGAGGTCGAGCTTGGCAGCGGGGACTCCCATTCTGGAGAAGATGAAGTCAAGCCCCTCGACACATGCGACAGGCCGAGAAGACACCCCCCGTACAGATGCATCGGAGACAGTTCCAGGGCCACCAGCTGGTCAACCCACCGGAAGGAACACAACCCCGCTGCGGCCTGTCATTAGTGCCGCAGAACTTGCCTACCCAGCACGTATCTTGAATATCCCTGCAAGACTACACACAGCTTTACCTGTGATTTCTGAAACCAACCGCGTCCTTTGGGATCAGGATTTGGTCTCTCGCCTTTCAAGTCTTTTCAACCTCAATGTCATTCGGCCAACCAGCACTGCAATCTCCTTGCCGGCTGACACAATCATTGAAGGAGCAATTGTTGAAGGAGCTGATGGAAGCGCACCCGTCATACCTGCCTTCACCACACAGACCGGACGCGTCATCACTAGCTTCGGGCCAGGACAGGATATCGAGTCCATTAGCTTCCGCGACGTTGCAGGAATCAGTGTCCAGGGAAGTCATCCCGACCGAGACTACAATAGCATCGATGTCACACTTAGCGTCAATCGTGGTGGCATTACGGTCCCAGTAAAACTACCGTCTGTAGTCGTACCGCGGGGTGCCGTCCGGACGACAATTGTCAATGTTCGTGCTTCAGGTGTTGGGACAGAAGTAGCAAAGCATCTCATGGCAAATCGCATGTACTACGGACAAGTATTATTCCGCTCATTGGACGCGACAGACTTGGCATTTTTGCTTTCGGGGTATTCGTATAACCTAAATGAAAAGCAGGTGCCAATCACTGAAATTATCAACCCGCGGCCGGTCCGATATGTCGGGAATTATGTCGCCTTTACGACGAATATCCAGCCGGGAAAGAAGAATACAGAAAAGGGCCAATTTGATAATGTACCGGAGCAACCTCATCCCCCTAATGAGTCGCCCAATATTGAATCTGTTGATGGCTTGCACAGCGACGACTCAGAGCACAATGAATCCACAGAGCCCTCGGAGACCGCAGATAATAAGCCCAATCACTCTGAAGAGGTTGAAGCTGAACGCAAAGCCGATATTCCCGGCCTTTCAACAGTAGGACCGGACCCTGATCCCCAGTGGACGGAATTTTTGGAGACTCACAATATCCAAGTTGGACAGTCAACGAACGATATAGTCCCACTCGGCACAGGAGGGGTGTTTGCGGAGGCTGTCTTGGGTCGGTCAAACTGTGCTGAGAAGCTCGACATCACGAGATTCTGGGATTGGAAGGTACGTTAGGCAAGGAATCCAAAGCGTTGAAGGCATACCGGCTAACAAGCAACAAGGATTCCCAAATCCCTCTAACGGCAACGGAGATCGCAGCCGTTCAGACTAACTCTCGCGCATCTCAACCAGACCTCAAACCTGGCGAGTTGTCTACTTCTCTAATCAGTCAACAAGCACCATCAGCTCTCCCAGATCCAACGGGCACTGCAGCCCTCCTAACAGCATTGCAAAATGGAGCTATGTTCCGTGACCAGAGCGGTCTGGCTGCCACGATTGGTCTGACTCAGGCAGCGCTGCAGGCAACCCAATCAGGAGCAGCGAGTGCAGGCCAAGCAGCAAGTCAGAATCTGCAATCTCAGCTCCAAGCGACCACAGAGCGACAGAAGACGGCTGCAAATATGATTACAGATCTTGCTAGAACTGCTGCTTCTGCCTACACTGGTATACCGCTCGCTGCATCCGCCTCGTCCAATGCCGGACCATCAGCAAATTCTAGTAAAGGTGCTTTGATCAATTATTTCGATAAGACAAAAGAAGGCTCTCCAGGTGCTACGGAGAATAAGCCCCCCGCGGGACCACAGCCTGGCCCCGCCCCTGCCCCTGCTCCTGCTCCTGGTGGCCCTAGTCCCTCTGGCGCTGGTCCCGGCGCGGCTGGACACTCCCCTCCTAGTAATAGAAGTGGCCCTGGCCCAAGTGCAGCAGGCTTTTCACAAAATCCAGCAGCGCGAAGCGCCATTGGCAGGGACACCACACTTTCGGATGTCATCTCTAAGGCAACAGACATGGCAGACAGAATAGCTGGGACAAGTACCAACTTGCAAGAAGAAGATAGTAGTGGACTGCTCACAACCCGACGCGCATGGCCAAGACTGGATCCAGACGAGGTATTACCGCGAATCAGCAAGCTCAGCGAAGAGCCTGGTGAATTCAACCAGGGCACAGTACCCCTATGCACACCTGGGATTTTCTTCTACCACCTCTTCAAACTCAAGCCGACCGAGACAGCGCAATTTGCCAAAGACTTATACGGACTTGGACAAGCGACGTTGGGAGGACTTCGGGTGCGGCCAAGCGATGACTTACGCAGAACAAACTATGTGGATATAGTTTCGAGGAACGTAGCGCTCGAGCTGGTTCCGCCGGAGACAGACTGGATGATGATGTGTAGTCTTCGCGACAGCCGGGATTGGTTTATCGACTATGAAGGTGCATCGGACGGGTCTGGAACCGTGGCTCTGGACACGGCAGCATCTGAGTTGGAGACCTGGTATAATGCAACGGGGTTCTTCACGAATGTTTCTTGGAATCCGTACTATGAGGCGGGCCCGTCTATTGACACTCTGCGAAATTTGGATGTGTCGTCTACCAAGAGTGTTGCTCTATTGGTTGATTCAAGAGTACTGGGAAGCGGCGACGTGAAGGGTACGACGCATATCATTGGCCTTACCAGTAAGCCTCAAATTAATGCGACAGACAGTTCGATCAAGTTCGAGTACTGGACCTGGGGAAAGCCGGCAAGAGTGATGGACGGTAAATTGGATTTAATCCAGGGGAGTATCAAGGGTGTTTTTGTTGCCACTGTTTGAGGGATGTCAAAAGTCGCATTCGTACCTCGTGATGTTCGCGCAGCAAGCATAACCTATATTCGTATCAGCACCTTCTCGGCCTTCAGCTCTGCCGTTGAAGTCGCCGTATCAAATGCCACGCGAGCCCTGGATGAACCGGACGTCCCGCTTCTTATCAGTTCGATCAAAGTCGCAATAAAGATCGTCCTTGATCTCCTTCTTATATCTACGTTTCATGTCGGCAACCGGAAACCGGATGTCGACATCCAGACCGGAATCCGCCTAATCTGTGACATGGTTGCGGCGATTTCTGGTCTCTTATATTTCTTGTTTACCGTCAGCTTCAGGTGAAGTGCCGATACACCGACACTGCAAGGATTTCTTATTCTCCTTAAACCGGGATCTATCACGTTTATCGAGTCTGCTCTGCGGAATGCACTCTATCTCTGGCTAGTGAGCGGTGTCGTTTCCATGTCAGCGGACTATGCGACGGCGTGGGGCGTGTTTAGCACGATTCGATGGGGTTTAATTATGGTACCCGTCCAGGCAGCCGAGGCTACGACGCTCAGGTTTGTGGGACATGCCTGGGGCAATCTCAAGCAGAGACCCTACCCCCCAAGATGTTCGTGGACTAGTTTGTGCGGTACGATCTATCTCCATCCCACATAGTTCTGGGGTGCTCACGTCTGCAGTGGTCGTACGGCCAGCCCTTCTCTCCGCCGCTATAATTCTCGCGATCGAGATCCCCTTGCTAAACCTCATGTCTCCATACGTGAGTCTTTCGCGTTGGCTTAGCAACTCTGCACATGTCTCGAACATTGTCGGTCACATGTGGCGCACTATAGATTGGTGCGTCCGTCTTTTTCCCTATTACTTACGGATTATTGAACCCCTAATGTTGTTGAGTAGGTGCTATATTCTTTACGGCTTATCAATCTAATTTGTTGCAATACTTCTTGCAACTCGCACATCATGGTATCTCGCGCAGTCCTTGATCTCCAACATGCTCTATGTGCTTCCGTGGGCTATCGTGTGTCAGGTCGTTCATCTCAATCCGGAAAATGCGTGGACATATCACAGCCTGGTATTTGGGGGTAGCCTAGTGTTCTCCTCTGTCGAGATCTTGGTCGTCGTTTCATTTTTGGCGTGGGGGCTACTTAAGGGGAAGTTAAGGCTCGATGCAGTTTGATCCCCGGCTTCACAAGAAGAGAGAGAGGGCTATCGTACCAGCTTTTTTAGAGGGCAGTGGAACAGGCCTGTTAAGCTTACCTGCTAATCGTAGGTTGTATGCTTCATCGAGCCTGCGGCTTCTAGCCATCGTCGATAATGAAGCCATCGCCTGCCTAGCTAATGCTTGATATGGCATAGGGTGGTCCCTTGAGATGATGGAGACGGGCCGATAAGATCCCCATCTGTCGCGTCAACCCCCACTGGCCACCTCAAGGAAAATGTACCTTTGAGGTTCGAATCCCATAGAACACGGTGCGCGCTACAACTTATCGAGTGACAAATATCCGGCAGACCCAAATGCTCGTCTCTATTCTAGGAATTTGTGCCTCTGAAAGCTAACATGATGCCGTCTTCATAGCCTCTCCTACAAGCTTGCCATATAAATCAAAGTAACCATCATGAGGAAACTATCATACAAGCTACTACATAATTACGTATTGCCGGAATCAGTATTCTGCCCCTGCTCGATGAATTTCAAGAGCCGCGGGGTTGTATTCTCATCAAGGAGTTCGAGATAACGCTCTGTGTAGGTCCTGTCAACGTGCAACCAACGACACCACGGAGCTTCTTGCTCAACTTACCACAACATAGCCACCTCTCGCTGACTGTGCGTAGAAATCCTCTAAAGATCCGCAACATCCTCAGATTGTCTTGACATGTAATCTCAACCAACAGCCTTTGTGTCACGAGTGCCGCGGCGCGATAGACCATGAGCATGGTAAACGGGGAAAGACGGTCAAAGTCTGCTATTGTGGTGCCGTTGACAAAGGAATCCAGTGTGGCGGCTAACGTCGCCAGGAGGTCGTTCAGAGACATCGTACCGATGGTATTACACGTCGTAATGATTTCATCAATGAAGGTGAGTTTACTGGCATTTTCGTATGCGAGAAAGAGTCCACTATACTGGTGTCAGATTGCGACAGACAAGCGCGTGCCTTGCCACTGGGAGGAATCTGCGAGACAAGAGGGAAAAGATTGACTTACGTATTGCAGAGACTCAATGCACCGGAATATACCTCGTCCGTATACCCAATGTCCTTGGTGACTATTGCCTGGAGATTGCTGGCGGTCTCCAGTAGTAGCATTATGTGTTGTGCGTCGGCAGCGCTATCTCCGGTGGGGTTGTTGAGCGCAGTATGCATTTTATCCAGGATATCAGCGGCCCCATAGAGCCTCGAGACTTTATAGAAAGCACTGGTGTGATCCTCATCGTAGAGACTGGAGCAGATTAGTTTTCTAAGACCATCGTGGATGTCGGGGGTGACTGAACCGGTAAGCGCAAGTCGCGAGCCGGATTCGATTGCTATGTATCTGCGAGGGTCAGCGGAGGATAGTTTAAAGTCCTTCATGGTTGGATGACTGACCTATCAAGTGTATAGATGCCACACCAGATAAAGGCCACTTCTGGTGTCGGTGTTCCATTATTTGAAGGGTCTGGCGATGATAGATATCTAGAATGAATGTTGAGTGCATCGGTGGCTCTGGCTGTGGCTCCGACGGAGATGTAAGCCGCTGGGTATAGCCCATGTACGACTTCGAACAACGTTATCAGCGTTCTCGCTTGGACAAGCTCGAGGGAGTGGATTCCGAGTCCCTCGATTAATGATGTCCAGCTCTTTGCCCATAAGTACAACGACTTGCATTTGCTCCCTTCGGAGAGTGGCGGTCTGGTATCCAGCATCACGATGCAGAAAGATAGCATCGCAAAGCTGAGGGAGGCATCATGCCATGACGATGGGAGCTGCCTTTGTGCCAAGTGAGAGAGGAAAGGAAACCAAGGATTGATTGATCGGATGTATCGGGCAAGAACGCTGTCCGGCGTGGCAGAATCGAGCCTTTCGATGATGGCATGTTTGATCTGCGCCGGTGTCAACGGCTCCCAGCCGAAATGTGTCTTCTCAGAAGCAGGTGATGGTGTGTTTTCGGGGGTGTTGAGCTCCACTGTATCATACGTGCATGATTTGTGGAGTCTGAGAGTGTATTAGCACAGATGCTGCGATACCTTAGGGGGGTACGTGGATATCACCACCTCTGGCAGAGTCCGCACTCTGGAAGAGCCCTGTCGCATCGCCTTTTTTGGCGCCGACATCGGGTACACGCTTTCTTCGCGATGCTTCCACTATCAAACGAGCTCATTCTAATTTTCTCTGCTCGAATCACGGCACAAATGCCAGGTATCGCGCGATAGAGAGGTGTAGAAGAGAGCGTCCGCTGCGTGCGGAGGCCAGCGGAAGAGGCCAGGGGGAGTGCGGAGATGCGGAGAGCGGTGCGGACTTTTCTTGCGGAAGTCCGCATCGGGGATCCGCAGGCCATGCCGACAACCACTTTTGCCCGAGATGATAGAAAGGCATAAATAGAGGCTGTTTCCTGGTCAAATGTGACTCTTCTGTACCCTCAATTCTTTCTCACGTATCAAATCTATCTAATTGTCAAAGCTCTCTCTCCGAGCACAATGTCGGAAATCAAAACCGTCGCGATAGCCGGAGTAAGAAATCCCGACCAAACACAACAAGTCTATAGGGTACTAACGCCTTCCTAGGCATCGGGTACTCTCGGGCCTCATGTTCTCAAAGCGCTCTCCGATGCCGGCTTTGATGTCACTGTACTCGCACGTGCGAAGAAATCCTATGATTCGAACGTCAAAGTCCTCGAAGTCGACTATACCTCCCACAGCTCCTTAACTGCTGCGCTCCAAGGTATCGATGCCGTCGTCTCAACCGTCAGCGCCGAAGCAATCGAGGGCCAAACTATTTTGATTGATGCCGCCATCACGGCCGGGGTTAAGCGCTTCATTCCGTCTGACTTTGGCACGGTTACCACCAACCCCAAAGTCGAGGGTTATCCGTTGTATAGTTCCATGGCCAAGATCCAGAAGTATCTCCGGGAAAAGAGCGCGGGCGGCGATATCACTTGGACGGTCCTCGGATGCGGCGCCTTTTTGGACTTCCTCTTGACCACTTCGGTTTTCCTGGACTTTGCGAAGCACACTGTCACTCTGCTGGACGATGGCGATAACAGGCTCAGCACAACCTCATTGTCAACGGTTGGAAAGGCCGTGGCTGCAATCCTGACGAACTTCGAGGCTACAAAGAATAGGGTTGTTTTCACGTCCGAGGCAATCGTGACTCAGAATGAGTGGTTGAGATATGCAAAGGAACTCAAGCCTGGAACTGAGTGGGATGTGACCAAGGAGCAAACAAGTGCGGTTTTGGCAGAAAGCCTGGAGCAGCTTGCTGCGGGTGACCATACCATGCCAGTTATCTTGAAGCTCCTTAGAGGGACTGCTCTGGCCGGCGACGCCTACGGCGGCGCGTATGACGTGAATGACAATGAGTTACTGGGGGTGAAGGAGTTGACTTCCGACCAGATCAAGAAATTGATTGTTGAGAAGATCTAGGAGGACTATTGGAGATTTAGGTGATAGCTAGGCTGAACCCATACATGTTTCTAGAGGGAAAAAAGCTTGAGTACTACTCAGAACCTAGCAAGAGACCGTGCGTACCCATGCTCCAACTCCTTCGACATACCCTCGACATCAAAGTACCAGATCTTGTGCGACCTGCGGGTGATTTCTTCATGGCCTTTGGTCATATCCTGGCCACAGGCCGGATCGATCCACTCGTAAATATCGCATGCTTCGCGACTACTACGAACAAGCCAATGAGATCGCTCATACCGCACATCACTGAAGACGGAGAAGGCTGTCTCTAGCAGAGCCCATCGATCGCTCCGGCCGTGAGCTATGCGGTCCTTCTGAACCCGGTCCAAGAGTTCACATAGAGCGAGGGCATCTTCAGTCCCGATCCCTGCACCTGCACCATGGTGCGGAGAAGAAGCGTGGGCAGCATCACCCGCGATACAGATTCTCTCACGGGAATAGGAAGGGGCCGGATGGTCCATCGCATCGAACACAGCTCATATGTCCAATTCCGACGTCAAAAGGTCGATGATCGACCTCACTGTAGGGCCCCAGTCTGAAAACACGACCGCAACTTCGTCCTTTGTCGCAGGCTCCGACATTGGCTGTCCGAGCGGCCAGTCTGTAGGATCATTGACAAACGCAACGATATTGAGCAGTTTTTGCTTCGCGACGGGGAAATGGAGAACGTGCGCCTTCGGGCCACCATACATGTGCTGATTGCAAGTCGGTATCAATGAAGCGGCGTTAACTTGATTTGTATCGAACGACAGTTATTATTCTCACATGATTATGTCCATAGTACAGATTGCCCTTGGGGGGAGCATGAGTCCAATCACGGCTCAAATCCTTGGGAATATCTTCTACTCCTGCGAGCGCCATCTCTTCCATCAACTCATCCACAACTGCTTAGCAATCTTCTCCCCCTTCGGGGTATTCAAAACAGGTGCACACCTAAGAAGCCAACCATGCACAGTGAACTTGCGCAGCAATCTGTCCACCCTCGCTATCTGAGATTCCGTGCACCTTTCTTTATGTGGCCGATCTCTAGTACTACGTCTCCTTCACCGCCTAAAGTACCATCATTGTTGCCTGTCGTAGCTCATACGCAGCAATTCACTCCTACACTCGTTGTACATCGAAGCCATAAACCTCAATATCAACATCACTTCCATCTCATACATCTCATGCAGAACAAAACACCCCACACCCAAGAACCCGCCAAACCATCACTTCCTCCTCCTCCACCCCCAGAACCAAATCTAACCAGAAAACCCCCACCCACCCCACTACTGCCCCTCAGCCAGAACAACAAACCCCTCCACCCCCCGCCCACCTTCCCAATATACTACTTCTTCTACGGAACCCTAACCTCCCCAACGCAAGTTGCCCGAATCCTCGATCTACGCGCGGAGCCACGCCTCCGCAAAGCAGAAGTAACAGGCTACGCCATTGCTAAATGGGGCGATTACCCCGCCCTTATCACTGGGAACGAAGGACAAGTGGTATCGGGCTCTGCGTACCTAGTCAAGTCCGAGGAAGAGGCAGAGAAACTAGCACGTTATGAGACGAATGCGTATGAAGTTGTGGATTGTTTGATCTTCTTCACGGATGGGGAGCAGCCGGACGAGGCTAGTGGGAGGGTTTTTGTGTATGCGGGGGATGCGCAGGCGCTGGTTGAGCGGCGGTTTGATCGGGTGCTTTGGGGGAGGCAGATGGGTGGGAGGGTAGGGTTATGATTGATAGTCTTCGTATGGTCGGAAATATGGATTTGCTCTCGCTGCTTGTCTCTTAAACAATACTTATCCACTATGCACCTATCCAAACGTACATCTACAACAAAACCATCCCCAACCCCGCCACCACACCCGTAACAACATACACACCCACCTGCCACGCCCCAACACGAACCATCATCACACTTCCCCTTCCCGAACTCGCACTCCCTGCCGACCCAACAGCACTCACACCCGCCGTTCCACTCGCACTCCCACTCCCCGCCGCTGTCGCCGATGGCTTACTCGTAACCGTCCCCGTCCCCTCCGTCCCAGCCTCCTTCATCAGCGCGCTACACGTCCCCGTCGCCTTCACCGTAGCAGTCGTGGTCGCAGACCCCCCAAACCCACACGCATTCGCCTTCTTCCCCTGCTCTTGCCAATACTTATCGAGGACGAAATTCAACTGCTCCTTTGCGCCGCACATGCTATACGCGCCATACTTACCTGTAGTACCGTTATGCAAGATGCCATCGCAGGAGGTCATTCCGCACACAGTGCTGAATAGGTCTGCGTAGTCGCTGGACGAGACGGAGTCTTTGACGACGCATCCGGAGGCGTTCTCCATGCAGGTGCAGAGTTGTTCGTTGGGGGTGGGTGGGAGTGGGGAGGATGTGGCCAGCCAGGAGTTAGATGATACAGCAGGGCAGGATTCTAGGGCGGTGTTGGTGGGGGTGTAGGACGCTTTGTTTGTGCCGGTGGGTGTGGCGCTGGCCATTTGGGAGGAGTAGTAGGTGAAGTCGGCGAGTTTGGAGACGCTGGTGCTGTCGATGGCGGAGACGAGGCCTATTCATGTGATTAGTTGACGGTGCTCCAGTTGTTGCAGTGAACAAGGGCAATAGTGGGGTGGGGATTACCGTAATCATTATCCGTCTGGAAGTACATATACACAATACCACCGGACCAGACATCATTCATCTTCTCCCCAAAGAGCGTCTTGATCTCCGTGAACTTCCTCGGCTGGACCTCATTACATCCATACTCGGAGAAGAACACCGGCACGGAGTAATTCCTAAACTCTTCCGTCCGCTTATCAAACCCGGACTTAGTATAACTCGACTCTCCACACCAGGAGTAGATGTTATATCCCCAGAAATCAATACTCTCGTCCTCACTCCCACAGTTAAAGTAATCCGCCATATTGTCCCTGATGTCGGAGTCATCGTTAGTCGCATACCCGACACCAATGGACCGGTATCCCTGGCTCTTGATGTAAGCCTTCGTATCCCGGACGGCGGCTTTGACGAAGGCGCTGGCGTCCGTGGTAGCGACGTCATTGGAGACTTCGTTGCCGGCGAAGAAGCCCAATGTGTTGTTGTATTGGATGAGCTCGTCGATGACGTTCGTGTAGCGCGTGTAGAGACTGGTTTCCCAGGCCGGGTCGGAGCGGTCGATGGATTGGGTTGGGTTGGAGAGGTCCGAGATCACGTATATGCCGGCGGCGGCGAGTAGGTTCATGCATGTGCTGTGGTCTTTGGTGGGGTCGATGGCGTAGACGCGGATTACGTTGGTGTTGAGTTCTTGCAGGATGGGGACGTCGCGTTTGCAGAGGGTGGGGTTGGCGAGGGGATCGGTGTAGCTGGAGGATGAGTTGCCGGTGTAGTCCTCTAGGAAGGGTTAGAAGGAGTGTTTGGGGGGGGTGAGGGTTAGGGGACGTGCCTTGGTAGGCGACACCGCGGATGTAGCTGATATGGTTAGTTTGAATGAGTAGGGTCTATGGGTAATGGGAGAGTACAATTGGGTGTTGTTGCTGCTGTAGAAGAATTTAGATCCCTAGATGTCGTCAGCTAGGATTAACATCTCAGCTGAGCTGAGCTGGTTTACCTTAATGACGATGGGATCAATGTCCACTGCAAGAGCAGAGCCCATCAGGGCTGCTCCAACAGCCAGAGACAGTTTCATGGTAACAAACAAACAAAATGGATGTATAAAAGAGCGACTGATATCAAAAGAGCGACTATAATGACGGAATTCCAAACTCAAACACCCCCGGGATTTCACCAGACATTTAAACAGCAGCCTTTTCTTCTCCTCTGTCCACCCACGACTCAATCACCCCGTAACCGACGCCCCTGCCATGACCTTTGCGACACGCCAAGATCAAGCCAAGTATAGCTGCCTGAAAAGTCCAATATTGAGCCAAGCAACCAAGACCTATACGGTGAGTAGGAGTGGCTATTGGGTGGAACGTTATCCCAAAACATGGTGTAGTGGCCGATAGCGTCTTGGTGAAGTGGATGCTTATCTCCGGATAGAGGCAAGCAGTGGGTCGGAGTCGAAGACCGGATAAACTATATGTACGGCCAAGACCTCGCCTGCTGGTCGGTCAGAAAATAATGAGCGTGCCAAGAGAGCGGAAGCTGCGAGGGTGTTTTTCATTTGTCCGGAAGCGAGAAAAGTCTTGGGATGTCGATACAGGCAAGTAGTTGTCGATCAGTGCGAGCTGTAGTTAGGTTTCATTGCGAACACCGCATGGAAAGTATGTGATAAGATAGCAGGTAACATTCCAGAAGCATACCCAGTAAAGTAATATACACGCTCAATCAAACCAAATCATATCCATGTCCATATCCATACGTCGTCCAGCGCCGAACCCAAACGTAATCACAAGAATCAAACATCATTCGCAGTATATTCACACGCCATGTGTCATCTCACATGGCCTCACGACGACGTCGCTCGATGGCTGCCTCAAACGATCGAATGGTGTCCAGCGGCCGCTCGAATCGGTAACGGGTAGGGTTGGACAAATCGGGTTCAGCTGCAGAGACATCCAGGTTAGCTGGCATATCCTCATATCTTTCAACTGATGAGATGGTAGTGTGATAAACGTACTGATGACTTTGCCCTCGCGATCGCGATGCTGCATTGAGCGTAGAGAGAATCCACTCGATCCAACGCTGTACACTGTTTACCATATTAGCAAGAGACCAGAAAAGCCACTGCTATGTTCACATACCAGCCTCTTCACCTCTCAACGCCTGGTTCGGGTCCGACTTGCTGGACAGGGAACTCTTGCCAGCCGAGTGACCCGTCTCGGGCCGGTCAGGGTTAACCGGGGGAGCAGGAGGAGCAGCAGCAGACATTGTGATGTGATAGGATAGGAATGAATTTTTTTTTCTCGTGTTGGTAGATGGCTAAAATCTTGGCCAGAGAGGAAGGAACCACGGATAAGATATAAGAAAGAATCTTGGTAGAGATGACAGATGGAAAAGGTGGAGTGAGTCGGAAGAGGTGGGAAGACACATGCCAGACGGGGCCTATAAATGCAAGAAGCAGCCCGGCTGCATGAAAAAGGTCAGCATGGGCGACTGAGTTTGGAAGCTGACCTGCAGCATCACGCAAGACCGGCCAATGATGGGCATGAGGTTGCGAGCCTTGTTGCCTTTCCAGCCGGGTCTGTGACGCGGCCGCCCGGGCTGGGATGGAAGGATGAGCGGAGGGGGAGGCAATGGAAGCAGGTCCGTGACGTTAGCAGGCCCGCACCCTCCTCTGAGGTAATTGAGAGATGTTATTGGTGTAATAGCTTGCCAAGCTTCCACTACTGCACAAAACCCAAGGCTTATCCGGGGTTTCAACCAATAGAAGTGTCTAATCCCCTGGCCGCAAAAAAGATGGGCCGCGCAATCACGGGGGCTGAGGCCGTGGCAATTGCTATTCTAGGCAGCCAGATTTGCATCCGTTGCTGTTCCTGGCAGGTCCAAATGGGGTGATGACGCTTTGAGTCCGCACATCATTAGGGGCCGCCCCAAGTTCTGTCAGGGTCTCGCTCGATCCGGCATGCCCGTGCCTGATGCAGTGTTTCATCCTCTGGAATGTACGCAAAGGTCGCGTTTCGGTTGCCAAGCCACAGGTCTAGAACCACGACTTGGTCGGAATAGGGTCGATCTGTACGTAGTAATGAATCACAGTAGGTATGAGATGCTCTTTCAGTGAGTTGTCTCTCTCCACTGCACTCCAACCGCTCTTGGCGGCCCATCATTGCCGGATCACACTAACACACGGCACATCGCCTGGAATTACTCATAGCCACCTTGTCATGGTGACATCTGAAACACGGTCGCGCCTGTTGATCCGCGAGTCCCGCTAAACGATCACCTCGGCTCGTGAACGACGGGGGCCCCGAGGATCAGGGGCTCGCCGCGTTATGGCCCGTGTTGGTTGTGTCGTAAGTTCGTAACGGTTCCTGGCTGAGACGCTGTTTCACCGAGTAAAAATAGACAAAGTTACTCAAAAATCAGGCGACGAATCGATATCGCGGGCATTGTTAATTGTTGCTCCGATCGCCGTCGCTCAACTCGATCGCCATTTTAGTGCGCTTGATAAGTCTCAGAGCAGCTCAGCCATGAGTGATAAATATAGTACATGCTTCTGCTTAACAATCAGGATATAGAAACTTCCGTCCGAGCATCAATGATAGGCGGCACACCGTGCTGTGGAAATCCCATCGGATAAATTCTCAGAGCGATCAATGGGGCTGTCTCAGAGGAGGGAAATAAAACTTCCGAAGCACATTTATGCAGAATGTCGGTTCCTCGCATTCCCGGTGTGCTTTATTCTGCATGAGCATTAAGCATTGCTAGTTTTCAGCCCCATAAAGATGAAACTTGATAATACATAATACCAACTCTTTACTCATGGAATATTGAATGTCAACGTCAGCTACGCGTTCTTCCAGCTTCCAGAAAGGTGGGTCATGACTCCAAAGGTCGGATTTAAGCGTCTTCTTCCATTGATCTTCGGAATTGGCTTCCATAAGGAGCAACTGTGTAGTTCAATCTGCAGTATTAGCTTCCTGACGTGCGATGGCACGAGGTTGACACTTCCGCTGTGGTACGTAAGCTGCTCCGTCAGCCTTGTCCCATGGCAAACACACTGGGGTGGTCAGAGTGAGCTCAATGATTGTCTGCTGAATCGTCCGATGAACCACGGAAATATACATAGTTTATTCTACTCTGGGCTGT